AAAAATATTTGACACCATTAACATTAATTACTTGTTGTCTATTATTTCTTTATATACCATTTGAGTTCGATATAAAACAAAACTGTTGCGATAATTTTCAATCAAACCGATTTCATTTTATCTTTTACATGTTTCTCATAGCTGTTTTACTTCCATTATTGTTAATGGGATTTACAGCACTAACTTTAATAAATATATCTAATCATCAACCACCACCTTTGCTACCCGATAGAGGTCTCCTTCGTTTAGTGTTGTACCAGACAATGATCTCTACCTGCTTGGTACTACCGTTCTTTATAACATCAGTTTACACATCATTTGTATTAATCCAAACAACAGTAATCGTATTTCTATCTAAATTATTTTTATTAATATCATATTCAACTTTAATGATACCTTTTATTATTAATGTTCTTACACCAACAGTCTACCAACACGAGTTTTTAAAGATTATAAAACAGTTTTTTCATTTACGAAAACCGTTACATATGAGACTTCGCTACCGTATACACCCAACAGAAACAAAATTTTAAATATGTGTCTGAATGCGAAAACTAACCCAAACCGTTTTCTAGTTTTTTTAACCAAGAGTTTTTGTTGTATTATTAAAGCATTAAACGTATGTATAACATCATGGATTTTAAATCCAAAAATATTCATGCTAAGCTTTCGACCTTTTTTCTAGTAAACTTTGTTTGAGATGTCTGAAATGGATGTATGATAGTTATGCCGAAAATTCTTAATCGGATGAATTTATTTAGACAATGATAATACCAGTAGGACTCAATTATGTCACTGAGCCAAGAAAAGCGCTTATGTCACAGCGCTGACGACCATGTTAGACAGTAACATTCTGATGGAGTTCATGCGGTTTATCCAGCAAGTTTTCAAGTTTGTCCAGTACAGTCGTTAACAACGATTCAAAAAGAAAACAGAAAAAAATGTCACTTTTTTCCTTTGTCTTTCAGGAAAAGGATTTCATAGAGGAGAAATTTAAAAAGTGTTATCCCTAATGATTTTCTTTTGTTTAAGAGTTTAATGTGAGCTTAATGTGTGAAAATGTTTATTGCATTGATACTGAATCAGAAAAACAATTTTCTACTTTGTTCAAAGTCGACGCAGTCGTTCTTGATAAACAATCAACGATTGTGTTGATTGAAATAGCATATTTAATACCGGAATCGACAAAATTATTGAATAAAACATAACAGATATGTGGACTAATATTTACAACTGCTAATGCATTATATGCCTGAGTAATCGAACAGTTTATCACCTATTGTTTCGTAGTGCATATGTACATTATATGCTCTGAAGGTAATAAAATCTGTTCACATTCCTTAAGGGTACCCTCCCTCTTTTTTCACTTTGTTGCCAAATGCGAAGCACACGTCCGACTGAGCTCAAATTTTATACCAGAGATAGAACATCGAAAACGAAAACCGATATGTTTTTGCCCAGAATTTTCTGAGATGTTCTTATATGGGTTTTCTGGAGAACTTCAGTTTTCATCCAGTCACATTACGACCCCTCGAGATCGAGCTCAAATTTGTACCACAGTTACTTTAGACCTTATCTCAGGAGAAAACTTTTTCTTTTCGAAAAATATGCTTTCCTTCTTGAGACAAGAATTTTGTCGAATTTATTTCGTCGACATTTTTTTGTTGACAAGCACTTCGTCGACAGACAGTTTAGTCGACAGAAAGTTCGTCGACAACTCATTCTGTCGACAGTTATTTTGTAGACAACTCATTCTGTCGACAGTTATTTTGTAGACAACTCATGTCTTTGTCGACAAGCTATCTGATCCACGTATTACATAATCTCCTTGTATCTTCTTTTCAGTGTCAGTGTTTCTATTGTTTTATATCGTCCGTATGCACAAGACTATTTTTCTTCTCTTTTATTTTATTTTTTTCTCTCCCCTTATATGTATATAAATACACGTAAAGATGATACAACTGGCATTCTCTTTCGTATAGTTCTTTCGTATAGTTCTTTTTTTTTCTGTAAGACATATTTACACGTTTTTCGTGCTCTTCTTCATCATGGCAACTGGATCCGTTATTCTCAAGTTTGGTGTGACGACCAAAGGCAAGCGCATGGTGCTGTACGACGGATACATCTACACATTGAACAAAGATCGTGGCAACGTGAAATACTGGCGATGCGAAGACCGCTCTTGCTCCGCTTTCGTTCACACCGATGGAAATGATAACTACAAAGCACACAGTGCAACGCACGATGGCCACCTTCCCTCGCCAGAGCGCATTGCCCTTCTCGAATTTAAGGGAAAGGTCAAGAAAGTGTAATTAAGGAAACAACACCGATTGCTCGCATCTACGAACAGGAGCTCGCAACAGCAGAGCTCAATCAAATTGCCTTGCCACTCGCTCTTGCCGCGAAAGATAGTAGTAAGTATACCTTGATAGAAATTCTACATGCACTACCTATTTGGTTCAATATATAGAACCGGCTCTGTTTTGTCTTCGTCGGGAAACAACACCAGTTCTTCCTACTTCGAGTGACTTCCACATCCCATGACATTCGCCAACGAGCTGCAACTAGCCATCCTGTTCAAATCGGAGCATATCTTCATCGATGGCACATCGGTCTGTCCTCCGCACTTTGATCAAGTTCTTACCATTCACGGGGTGCACCACGAACATGGTGAGTTCTCTCTTACCTCGATAGTCCGTATGTTTGAGATTTATCCCTTTTAGTTGTGCTTTGCTTAATCGCTCTTCTTCCTGGCCGATCCGGTACTATCTACAAACGCCTATTTCAATTGCTCGATCAGGAAGCTACAAATCTTCGAATGACATTCGAACCGGAATCGATAACGATTGACTTTGAGTCCGGTTTGATCAAAACGGTGAAACATCATGTATGTTTCATTTTCTTTCTAGCTTCAAATTCATTTTTCTTTCTCTACTTCCAGTTTCCTATGTCGAGACATATTGGTTGTTTCTTTCACTACACGCAGAGTATTCATCGGCAAATCCAGAGTCTGGAAGTGTCGGCTGACTACAAGGATGATGAAGAGATTCGCTCTGTCTGCCAACAATTAATGGCGCTCGCTCTTTTGCCTCGAGACCAAGTGGAACTTGCCTTCAAATATCTTGACGACAGCCATCCCCAATCACTTGATGATCAGTACGATTATTTCGGAAATTTTTGGATGGAAACTATGTCAGTCGATTGCTGGAACGTATGAGATCTCAAAATACGTACAAACAACAATGCGGAGGATAAGATTCTTATTTTTTCTCCTTCTCATCACATTCGGAGATCAATCACTTAGGCTGGCACCACAGATTTGCTCATCGTATAGACAAGAAACACCCAAATATTTGGCACTTTATCCATGTACTCCAAGAAGAAGAAGTTCGCGTTAATCAACATATTCAACATGTGAAAATGGGCAAGAAGAAAATTTATGGGCAACAAACATGTCGCATTCAACAGTGTCTCGATACGTTCGCGGATCGATTCAAGAAGAAAGAGATCGACGTGGTCGACTACATCCAAGGCCTGTCGCTTTTGGTCGCAAAGAAGAAATAATGTTTAAATAAAGTCATCTATATTATCTTTATAAATACTCCAGCTGCTATTTTCTCCTCTATCTGCTCAATAAAATCAAAATACAAATTGGTGCTCCTGAGCATTAGTAATTTTTTCACGCATATTTCTTAACAAAATATTCGTCGACATAATCACTTGTCGACAAATTATGCGTCGACGAAAAATTGTCGACAAAACAACCCGTCAACAAGATATTCTTTCGACAATCAAATGTCGCCAAAAGTTTGTCGACAAAAATTAGTCGACGAATGATATACATACCGTTTTTCAGGACATTTGCAGTGATGCTTATATCTCCACGAAAATTCATCAGACAATTCTGCAAGACGTTTCAAAATAATGACGACATTTAATGTATTCTCCCATTAAAAAAAGTAGATCATTTAGTTTTGTAGTAGTTTACTACAAAGCTAAGTTCACATGTTCGAATCTCTATCCGTACAAACTTGATTTTGTGTTTTTCGATAGTTTTAGTTTAGAATACTATAATGGAATATTTTCCGCTTGTATTCTGCCAGAATAAAGCTTATATCAGATCATCAAATAAAATAGAAATATCTGAATTATTATTGCTCATTTCATTTGTTTGATGTTTTACATAGTCTTTTGCAATTGCTAATCCTTTGTCGGATGATGTCATTCTACATATCCAACATTTTTTATTTTGATCATAGAAAATATTTTGTATTTCAAATATTATTCCTAAATCAAATAGATATTCTTGTTCATCTGAAAATGGACTATGAATAGCAATATCAGCTACGACAGTTAATGAAGAGATTGTTGTATTAATATCAATTTCAAAAATAATAGATTTCCAATTGGGACTTGCATTGATATTCGAAATTTCAGTACCAGCATATATTTCTGCTGCTTCTGTACTTTCACTCGCCAAAAGAAATCCATTTATTAACATCAAATGTCCAATACAATCTTGTAGTCGTTGAATTTCAGCATATGTTTATTTACTGCCACAAAACAGCTTTAAATTTTGTCCACGTTTTATAGCGTTTATCTATCAATTGAGCATATAAATCAACGAGATAAAAACGGTACAATGCTTCCACGTCTTCTGTTCTCAGAGCTTTATTTATTAATTTAAAGACAAAACTGTCTTTTGTGTACCATTGAATGGCATTGTTACATGAATAAGTTTTTATTTCGTTTTATTTTTATTATTTTTTCATTCAAATTCATCAATATTTCGTAATTCTTTCTTGTTACCACAATAATTTAATCGACATTTATTGAACACTTCTTGTTTCGCATTCATATCACCACTTGGCATTCTCTAAAGTCCATTCTTACATTAGAAGTACATTTTTACGAAATTTTTTTTGAACAGTCTCCTATATATCCTCGTGGAAAAAAATAGTTGCTCACAGTATTTTTAAGATATTTTCCTTACGAAAACACACTTTTACAAAAGTGATCCCATATTCTGATATCGCTTGGAATTCTCTACAATTCTGTATATTTATATCTGGTCTTGCATTTATTTGCTGAAAAACAAATTGAGTGCAATGACGGCTCCCACATTGTCAGATTCCTGTGGACTGCATTTTGTTACTATCTCTTCAACTTGCTTTTTCAATTTATCATCACTATAGAAATTGCTTTTTATAAAAGTAATTATATATTCTGATAGCGCCTAAAATTCTCTATCATCCTATATATTTATGTCTTGTCTTACATTTATTTGCTGAAAAATAATTTGAGTACAGCGAAGGTACCCCCCAATTGACAAGTACCAAAAAGTGCATTTTTTCGCTACTTTTTTAGTTTTTTCCACACTATCTGTTCTAAAAGATTTTTTTACAGACCATGA